AAAGGGAACGTCGCATAACCTGAAAGCGACAGAAAGAGAAAAGATAATACAATAGACTCCTTTAAGTATTCCTTCATTACCTTCAGACCACGAGACCTTCCAGAGTAAAGCGATGCTGGAAGTCGTAAGGATGCCGGTTGATGATACCCGCACTTCACGGGCATCCTCTCCAAAGTGAATCAAGAATCGGTTAAGCAGAAGGCGTGAAGCAGGATGAGGCAGCGTTCTGTGGGGATTCAACCGTTCAACTACTGCGAAATGCAACGGTAATCTTGTCAACGTGTTGATAGAAGGCGTAACGCTCTATACTGTATGGTCCCAGTGATGTTAATGTAAAGTTATGTGCTGCAGAAATGAGACGGCTGATTCCAATGACCTTAAATGATTCACGCTTTCCTTTATTATTATTATTATTATTATTATTATTATTATTATTATTATTATTATTAAAGACTTCCATACCACGCACGCATACTTGGACACGCACCAACACACACAACCGCCACCTGTGACGTTTAAAAAGGATACTGCATTTTTTTATATAAAAAGACGTGGTATGAAATTGCAAAAATTCATTTTCATTTTCTATTTCAGCCCTCAATATATTTTGAATAAAAATGAAAGGGAACCCGTCCACTCTGTGAGCTTGTGTCAACAATAGCCTTTACAAATATTAGAAATTATTTAAGCAAAATGTAAATATTGCAGCCAGTGCAAACTATTTAATTTGATTTCTGCATTGCACTGGGGTGGAAATGACACAAATGATGACAAAAAGATATCGACGCCGTCTAGTTTACACAACATCGCTTCTTTCATGGTCAGTTGTGTGCCCGCCTATTGTCCCTGTAATTAAGCGTAGCAATGACACTTCCACGGGAAGCCAACGTTTCCCCAATAGTTCATCGTGCGCGGTCGCCGTTGCCCTTCCAAGTCAGACAGGCTGACAGGAATCGTTAGGAAATTGCGAAATTCTCACGCCGCCCTATTGTTCGCGGAAGTTCCCGAACTAAAACGTGCCACCATCGAACAAATCACGGCCATGGAGCATCATCTGGTTACATAGTTCGCAAACACTTCACTATAGACCGGATTATTTACATATTATTTGGGGGAAGTGAACTAGAACAATAGAGAAGTTTGTTAATTGGCAATTGAAAAGGCAATCTTGCAACCGAAGACAAAAGACTGACCAACCTATCCAGCGTTTATAAAGCCCAATCGATCTGGACTCACCTTAATCACTATCTGAGATCGAACAACGTATCCTAAATGATGACTGGTGTTTACTTTTAGAGCTGGCGAAATAAAAGAACAATTGATCGCTCTTTCGAGCGAGTGTGCAAAGTTAAAGATTTTGCGGTCACACGCTTGGCGTAACCAGCGGAGCGAATCCATTGAAACGACTCTAATCAAATAGATGAAAAAAGTCCTGGGTTTTATCTCTCTTTTAGACCATGGCAAACTATGTGGGCAGTCGAGGGATATTTTATCGTGTGGACTTGATGACATGGTTGTCACCATTTGTCAATTCCGGCTGCTGCTACTGTTATCAGGAAAACAGGGTTTGAACGAGATTATGGCGACCGGTCGCTCTGGGAGATGACTTGGTCTTTTTTCAATCAATTCACTGACGCGCCTTGAAGCATGGCCAGAAAGCACAGCCAAATTAACATACAACCTGATGAGTTTTATCTCTACGAAGAAAGGTTAAATGGGGGCCTGGTTTATCCGATTTGTTTATATTTTGTGACAGCTTTGGAAATAAAAATGAAACTAAGAGAAACTTGCAATTGGATGGTATCAGTTATATCAACAACAGAATGATGAATGAATAGAACTGTATAGATTCAGATTGCTTTATTGATATTCACCTTCACGAACAAGGTACAACCAATGAATATCATGTATGTAAAAAAAAAAGAAAAACAAAAATACAAATATTGGAATATAAATATATATTAAAAACAAAAAAAATTGATATTTCGTGAATAGTGTAAGATCGTTTTGTGCATTGTTATTCATTTGATATAACTGAGGTTTTCTTTCATTTATTATTTTTATTTTATTATTATTATTTATTAGTATTATTATTATTATTTTTTTTTTGGAAAAAATATCCTAACATATCATCTTGTATAGGATATCAGTTAAGAAGGTCCTTATATTCATTTATTAATATCTTATCGAGAAATAGCTTTGAAACTTTGTTTTGGAAAATGGCTTTTCATCTTATATAGGACAATTTGATCATGTACTTTTTGAAAATAAAATCAAAACAAGCTCAACTATAGTGAGTAACTAGTCAGTTTTCGAAACTAATCCCCTCGAGGTTCGGCAATATGCAAACACACGGCATTTTAATAAGACTTGAATATATTTACAGGGCGGATCGAAATATTATCTATGAAAAAATTGCTTTATAAACCATGTGTTATTTAAGCATGCACAATTTATCAAGATAATAAGATTAAACTTCAATCGTCAAAACAATCACAACTCGGGTTATTTGGCCCCAATTATGATCAAACAAATGCCCAAAAATTCCAAAAATTAGTTGGAGTTGGGTCGTTTACAACTTGAAGCACATAAAATCAAAGGACGTGGTAGCCTGTCCTGTGTCAGCTCCATTGCCTTCGCAAACCCCGGCACCGAGATTGACACTTTCTCTAGGGTCTCCAACGGTCTCACCTGCAACCCCCGGGGATCACCGTGTGATTAGAGGTCTAAATCTTCACACAATTTTCCCTTTATACCTTTTCAAAACATTGAAAATCGTGTAAATTGTTGCTGTTTGAATTTTGTGTGGCGAGATTAACTTTGACCCTAAATCCTTGGTTGACGTATTAGTGCGTTCAAACAGTGCAGGCTTTGGCTGTTTGCACCGTACAAATTCCCCCGCGGACTAAGCCAAACTCTACGCTGGCAGTTGGAGGCAGGCTCTTTCTCTCTCCTCCTAAATCCGCTTAGCCGTTTGCACCTGTGGTAGGGTAGCCAATGGACAAGTGTTTGAGTCAATATTGCAGAAAGAAAAGCTCCCATTTCAATCCTGTTATTCACCGCGCAATCCGAATCTCAACCTCTTTAATATACTCCGTCCAAGGGCCAAATTATAGCACTATTTCATTTTTAGAGCATCACTTCAAGTCATTTCGGAGGGCTATTGGAGCTGGCTTCAGAACACTTGCATAACTCTATGGAGTTCTGTTCGTGACTTATACGATGGAGAGAAAGTAAAGAGCGTGTGTCAATACAACATTTGACACTTTCGAGTGTTTTGAATATGAGGTGGATTGTATTGAATAAGCTTCGCCCGGACCAGCCAGGAATTCAAACAGTCGTAAAAAATTATATTTGTATATGCCTATATATCTATTTATCACAGTTATTGTATATACTTTCAAAACAAAATATGAAAATTGTATTCTTAAATTGACAAAAAGTATATATGTCCTTATTTCGAAGGCAAGTTGACGTCCTTTCAATTTTCGTTTTCTATTTTTGTTATCTCTGACGCTTCGATCTGTTTACAAAAAAATACTCAGTGTTAATACTAAATTTCCACGATGTTTTAACAACAGTTGAAGAATAGAAAAAAGATAAAACTTGATTCCTAATGTGGGGCCGGGGGCTTACTAAACAGTTTTTGTACAGAAGTCAAATAAAAAGGCGACCGCTAGCAACGCGACTGTGCGGCCCCCGAGGCGGTTTCGGTGCCATTCTCAATATTTACTTCCTTACTGTTTGGTTTTCTCTGCCTCAGTGTTTGTCATTTCTTCACGTCAATCACACATCATGCTGCCTGTGCCACTGAGCACACAGTCACTTCTTCGTGGGAGTTCGAGTGGAACAACAAAGCTCCTATGAGCAAATACAACCCCCATGTTCGTCTGCACCCCCGTAAACTGAACCCGCGACTTAAGGTTGGCCGCAGACAGAATGAAACCTCGTGTCATCCTTGCTGTAGGTCGTGCGGTTTGGGAGCCGTTGTTATTATCTATTTAATTACTGGACGATAATAGACTGAAATTGGTCTTATTGCCAGTTCGGCAACTACGGCATACAATAATGGCTGCGAGTTAAGAAAATATGGGCGGAGCATAGGGCTTAATTCTAGATACCCTGTGTCACGTTGAAGGCAGAGAAAACAAACACCGCTACAATAGTTATTGTGCGAGGTTTACATACGACAATGGCCAAAATACCACCCCAGTTTGATGAATAGTCGAATGAGTAAAGAACCAATTTTCCGGCAACTTTGGTCCCAGGGGCATCTCTTTCTCGGATTTCACTCCAACATCAAATATTTCAATAGATTTAAACTCTTCTGATTAGAAATCCTGCGTGTTTTGCATGCAGACCCAGAAAGCGGTCGAAGCTAGCAAAGAACGCAAGAAGGGGACGGGGCAAGGCATGGCAAGCTTGTTTTGTGCCCACGATAAAAGTTGAACGTGAGGTTGAGCGCACTGGATCGGTTTGCGGAGGAGCAGCGGAGTTGTCAACACGAGGGATTGTTGGTGTTTTTCCGGCCAGCCAAGCAGAAAATCAGTCTCTAAGGGGCCCAGACCGACATACAGTACCAGTCAGACGGCAGTGACAGCAGTGGGCGGCCTCCAGCATCAACCAAGCTTCTCTGATTTCAACACTTTAAATCGATGGGATTTTGTGGGATGATAGAAAACCTTATCGATTGGAAATATGTGGAAGAGTCTGTGTTGCGTATCGTTTCAACCCTGCTGCTTGTATTGGGGATAAATGAATATATTTTCTTTGACTTTCTATTGAAATTTTACCTTTTTATTATTTATTTTCATTTGTTTAGTTATTTTTAATATTTATTATCAAGAAATATGAAAATCATCTTTTGTTTTCATTGTACATATTTTTCAAATAAAAATCCTATTAAATGTGGGTTGGGGGGGGGGGGGGCAATACACGAGCAAAAAGAAAATTATACATAAATCAATTAACAGACCAAACAAAGACAAAGATAATATATATAAATTAATAAAAGTCATACATTTATTTTTACAATTTCAAAGGCATAAAAATCCATAGGACTTTCCTCCTTCTTATACAAAGGTAACAAAAAACCCAAGACCACACAAACCGAAGCCGAATTTCAATATCAGTCCACAAACCTCAAATGACTGAATTTTCCTCCGATTTCATTGAGCGCAGCTATTTTTTTTCTTTTCTTCAGACGGCAAGCGTCTCATAAATATTCAATATAAATATTAGTCTTAAACTTTTGAAAATATTTGCAAGAAAACGGTTCAAATTCAGCCCAGACCTCCGCAAACGTTTCGAGCTCTGCCACAGGCAATCTGTGAGCTGACACGCCGGGAAATCGATGCATTCTGACCTATCTCTATGCACAATGTTAATTCAATTACCAATGCCCCGAAAGAATTCCTATTATAGGAAAATCAAACTTGGAATTCCCAGGATTCTAGGTTATCCTTTGTTGGACTCTGATTTTAAGACAAATAAAAAGGAATTGAAGGAAAGTCTACTACAACATCTTTCTTTTTCTTTCATCCACAAATAAAAGAAGCTTAATGTGAATGGATCAATTAAACACTTGGTTGGTCAAAGATTCCCATTCAGTCTGGTTATTTTCCGTGCTTCTCTTTGAGAGAGAGAGATAGACTACCGTGGTCTCCAAAAAGCCTTTCATGAGGTTATCAATTTACAAACTTCTCTATACTAAAAAGTTAATCATCAACACATACATTCTTATATTTAACCAGAAAATAAATAAAACAAGTTTTAAAAAATAATAACAAAATCCTTCACGTGGCCAACTCTGATACCTTGGAAATAGAAATACACATTCATTGCACTGCTCCACGTCGTTACTACTATATATCTACGGGTCGAAAGGCTGACACATCTGGGCTTCCATGGATCAATACACACTGACGCCTCAATCTCACGCCTAAGTACCAAGTTGGTCAAAAATTGTCTGATAGTCTGCAATTAATAACTCATTGTTTTCTCTTTATTGTCACACCTATCTCCTGGGCTGAAACGCGCGGCGTATTCAGGTACAAATTATGCTCAGCGCTCCTGGCACTGTTCTGATAATATACCGTCACACGGCTTTTTTTAAAATGAGATTCAAGACATAAACTGCATCATGCTCATTGTCTTTTTGTTTAAGAAACTAACTGACGTATCTCACTCACAGAGCTGAGTGTCCAGTGATGGTTGCAATGTCCGTCGCGGTCCGCTTCATGGACAGTTTTATCCACGGCTAGTCAGCTGCTCGTCGGGCTGGACATTTCTGAACAGTTTGAGATATCGTGGGCGTCCGAGGAAGTGGCGCTTGGGGGGTTAAGACTAGAATCATCACCCAAATACGGCATATACGAGTCATCGGTGTCGCAGTGGTCGAACGACTCTACCTGCAATTCAAAAGGAAATAAATATCTTGAATTTTTTGGGCACTTTATATTTCAAAGAGTCTACCTGGAATTTAAAAACATGTCTATAGCAGAGACATAATTTAAATATCACTTCTATTGATTTTCCTTATATGTTAGAGTATATTTAAATATTTAGAAAATATTTAATAAAGAATGAAACCACCGAAAAAAACAGACTAAGAAAACACGAAAAGCATTAGTAGCCATGCAAACTATGCCTGCCTCCCATTCCTAGACAAAGTTTTCTAAATGTGTTCTTTTCAGACTTGGCCTTTGTCTCAAGTCACCCCCTACAGCTGAGATCAACAAACAATATGAAAGATTTCACTCGACGGCCGTGGTATAATTGAAACGTGGGATGAAATCCAACTTTTCTGGATCAAATGTCGGGCTGCGAGATCGGCATACGCCATCCAGTCGACGACGGCCCTGAATTGGAACCCGCTTTTTTCTGGCCTTTCTGCTCTTTAATCAGCTTCGGCAGCATTGACTTTGTAGACAGACATATACCAGGCCTGTAGCTCAACGTTGCCGTGTTTTTTTTTTTTAAATCTCAGCACGCTAAAGCATTCGCCATTTCCGGGATCATTAATATTCTTTCAGCGTTGTTAAATTATCGCATGTTTAGGAACTCAAGGGGAATGACTTAATTTTGATGACGCTTAAAATGCCCTATCGATAATTATAGGGCTCTCATACCATCTACATTCATGTTCATCATTTCATAAACGTGAGTCAATATTTCAGGAGAGTTATCGCCCTTAAATAAATATTCATAAAGAGGCAATATTTAGCTTGAATCTCGCCAATAATTTTTTCAATAGTTTCTCGATAGTCTTTCTTTCAAAGATTGGCTCAAGAGCTCATTATTTCATTAACTCGCCCTTCACCTATTAATAGTCCCACTTCGAGAATCATATTGTAATGAACCCATGCTCACAAACTAGTCATCAATCAACACCTCTCGTTCAAGTGAATTGATAAACTCCCGAGAATCACCCTTCGAATTCGCCCCTAAAAAACCTCTAAATATTTACTCGCCCAAAAACTCCTATTAACGCAACACTCCAGTTTGATATTTTGTCAGTAAAGGTAGAAGGGTTAAATCTACGCTACGTCCCGCCCTGCAAAAGGATTAATACGTGTTCTACTACTTGTTATTGCGTGCTGGTGCTCTCAGCAAAGGACGGAGACACACAAAGGAGTAGTCAAGAAAGGTGCAAACGAAAAAGCGGTGAGTGCTCTGCCAATCACTATGCACATCTCGTGGTACAACGGTCGGGGGTTGCGGTCAAAGAACTTAGGAACATATATATTTAGGGACAACAAAATCGAGGCGGTCAATTTGACAAGCTGCCCAGCATTCACCTCATCACAACTTGTTTAAATGCCAATTTGCCACTACATTAATTCACCAAATTGAACGAATCCAAAAAATTAATTTGGACTTGCTGATAAGCGAATTGTTCCCTGCGGAAAATTTTGGCGTACTTTGACGAAAGCAAAGAAATGCAAATTTTTCAAAACAGAATATCAATACATTACGATAACTACAGGGTAAAATCCAAAAAAAATAATTTTTTTAAAATGAGATTGAGTGTGTTCCTAGGCATACTTTTCAACGTGACCGTAGCCCATCGACCGTCACACAAAGTGACGTGCATTACCGTGTTATCCGTTCTTCTATGCAGACAACCGTATCATCATCGTCAGAACACTCAACAAAAGTGTTTACCAGTTGCTGGAAGGGTGGTTGGTCTATATCGCCCTGCATCCCGCCGTAGTCGGCCAGTTTGTGCCACGGGGTGGACTGCTGATAGCTCTGGACTTCTACCGGGTTTCCCTGCATGCCGCTCTCGTGACGTACGGGGCTGGACGCCACCATGGGAACGCCCTGTGGAAGAGGTCCTTGTAACCGATTGCCGTTCTGGAAGGGGGAAAAAAGTGGACAGTGCTTGAGAAATCCGTCGATATTAACAGCTTATAATCTTGAACAAAATAGCCATCGGTGTTCAAGATGAACTTTAAAATGCAGTAAAAATTATGGCGACCTCAGTTAAAGGGAACGCATTGGACGAGAAATTGAAGCAGTTAGGCTGAAATGCACCTTCATGGGTTATATATATATATTTTTCGGAAAGTGACTAAATGCTGTGACGATACAAGACAGTCTAATAAGACGTTCGATTAACTCTGTTTGCAATTTGCACTGCGGCGAGCATGACAGAAAATACAAACAAGCTTCTTACTCAATTATTTCGATGATTTTTGCCCAAATTAACGACGTATTGAAGCAGAACACTATCTAAATTGGATGTACAAAGAGACTGCAGAGAATAACAAATAACCAAATCTAATGAAAGTGCTATTAATAAAATTCAATCTAATAGCGGAACTCAACTGGTGTATGTTCATTACAATACACGTTTCATTACAATGAATAGGAAGGTGAGCAAAATATGTCACCTCTGATTTTTATCATTTGAAATATTTATACCACACACTTCAAATAACAATGTATAATATAGAATAAGACAGAGATTTCATATATTTTATCCAGAGTTATGAAAAATGAAGACATGCTACCTATTGAATTTCCTGGACAAATAAAATTACAATATATACAATTTTTGCTAAATTTGTGAGCCTGTGAGATGTGGCTACAATTCTGGCAGTATAACTAAAAGTCTGGTTACGCCGTATCTAGGATGCCGCTATGTTATTTTTCCATGTAAAAACAGGAGAGATAAAACAAGAGACGTGAAGTTTACCATACAGGAAGGAATAGCAATTGCAATACGCTTGGTAAGTGGCTGCATCGCCCGTGCAGGAGCGCATAACCGAATACCTGCATCCTAATTTCAGTAATTAACGGTGGGTTTATTTTAATATGGAATCAGATCTAAATAGATTCCAGATAAATTGCCTTGGCTTCACATTGGAGAAATCTACCAGAAAACTGATGTGTTTTGGTCGTTCTCTGCGTGAAAAGGCAACAAACACACTGAAATACTTGTCATTAGTAATAATACAGTATACTAAAGAACAATACTGTTTTTCTTTCGTTCCTTTTCTGTTCTAATCTGAAAATTCAATTCTAAGGATGAATGGTATGTCATGATTTTTTCATTAAATAAATTCGCTATTGGGATGACACCTGACTTGCATTTTGTTGTACAAACTTCCTCAGGCCACTTTTGAGTCCATATGATAAGCACACAATGACAATTGTAACAAAAAAACCGCAAAGAGTTTAATTCTCCCATTGTAATATATTATCGATCACAACCCCCCCTTGCCTAACACTGTGTCGCCGATCTATACGGCCATGGTGGAAAAGTTCAGGAAACAACCAGCCACACCTCCGAGGAAATCGGTAACGATCTGGGCCTTAATACCACCCCCAAAACCAGACGTTTCTTTTTAACCCCCAGGCTGCGGTTTTGTTCGGTTCAGTTCAATCCTCGCACTGCCTTTCTCAGTCGCACACCAATCGATCGACCCCGTGAGATTATAGGCAGACGTTCCCGACAAAAATAGGCAGTGTTTACAAAAAATATCAGCCTTTATGTATACAGGCGAAATTCTAAGACATAAATAAACGGAAGGTTTGCGTCAACCCTCTGCGAATTGACCCCGGTGAACCCGACAAAGCACGCCCGGACGTTTAAACAGTAGAACTTCTAGATTTAGGGCAAATATTTTGGCGGCATCCAAATACGTATTAAAAAGTCGACCGACAGAAAATCTTTTAAAGCGCCATCAATTTTTCATCGTTTATTACTGACATGATGAATAAATACTCCTACTGGTCGATGCTTTTTTTGTATGAAGAACTACCCACAAAACAGGGGTTAACTGTTTAATCCGAACCATAAGGAGTGATCAATATATTCACTTGTTCATTAGGGAATCTCTAAACTGAACTCATCATATAATGTGCGATTTCATTGTTTATTTATGTGTTCTTTTTTTAACCGTTTCTTCCGTAGAAAAAACACTGAAATATAACCGCGGCCCTCAATGGCAATCCAATCTGATCTAGTTCAACTAATGAATCCAAAAATTCATTTCACAAGAAAATCCTTGTATGTTTTCTTTTTATTTGAAAATAATCGTTTTAGAACCTAGACGTTATGCAAGTTGTATTAGATGTTGGGATTGCGTGAGTTTTTAAATACCACCAGAGCATATGGCCATGCCAGTCAGAAAACTGTTCATTCATGTCCCACACAAAAGAGGGAAAGGTAAATAACGCAGATCGACATCGTGTTTACTTAAGCCCACCAATCTTGAATACGCTGTATAATCATTTCACGATTTATGTAAAACATATTTGATTTTCTACCTTAAATATTATTTTAAACGATACCCTCCCTATTATTAATGAACTGCACTGGGATAGAAAGCACGGTGTTGCGGCACCGCAAGAGTCCTCGATTCTAAAGCTATAGAAGTTATTACTTTAAATGTCACCCAGACGGTGACACACAACATGGCTTCTAAAAGGAGAAGAATATCTATATTCACCGAATCTGCATCCGTCGCTCCCATAACCGTATTGAGTTGGTCAACTTTAACATCAACTAACATCCCTGTAGTGTCGTCTAAAAGAGCGGCGTGGAGAGAGAGAGAGAGAGAGAGAGAGAGAGAGAGAGAGGAGCAACATGAAAGAATTTCGATCGGCTAATCGTCGCACAATTGAGCATCACTACTTAATTCAATAAGAAAGAAGATAATTAAGAAAAGATTAAAACTAATCTTCTTGGTCGTAAAGATTGAAAAATTGGTCTCGGAAATTTAATCACCGTGTGTTGTTGTCATTTAAACAGAAGTCCTAACTTGATTTTCTCCGGGCATGGATGACTGATATGGCCTGTAGTTGACGGGACAAATCTAATAGCCAACCTCGGCAACAACCCTATGATAGCATTAGCATAAGGCATATGATTGATTGGTTCCTTGGGGAGATGAGGAACACTCATTGCACAGGGAGCAAAGAATCAGAATCGAGTAAACGTATTTCAAAGACGTGCCTTTTATCGGCGATTTGTTTCGGGATATCATTTCTTGATGTGCTACTTGAAAATTAATGTTATAACGTGAAAGATCACACCAATGAATAGCTGACGAAATACAATAGATGGGCTTTATCTTAATAGTTGAAAAAAGAAGAATAATTTTGATAATGTTTAAATGTATGGTAATTAAAGATATCATTAAAAACTATATAAAAATAACAATAATAAAATACCGCAAAAGCTCAAACTTCTCTTCAAATATAATATTCAATTGTAATCCCCATATTCATAATCTGTGAATTTTCTACTAAATCCCTAAACATTAAAACTCTTTTTTTTCTTTTTCGCCTCCTGTATTCAGATAAAATTAATCTTTTTCACAATACAAGGAAAACAACGTCTCTCGGCACATTTTAACGCGTGTCACCAGATAATTGCCTATTCTTGTCTTTATTGAAAGAAGTAACAGGACCATGAGCTGTCGTGCTGCGGCACATAATTAATAAACTCCCATTTTCAGGTGGCAAAGTTGAACAAATAATCCAGGATAATGGGGTCGCAAAGGCGTAAAATAATCATCAGCGGCTATGTTGATTGCTATATAAATTATACTATAACCTAGATTACCGTACGTCCATATACGTGGAGCCAAAAAGATATAAAATTCCCACGCGAGATCATAGACGACCCATCACAGGAAAATTAACTATTGAGAGCAATGGTTCTCGGTAAAAAGCTGCACTCCTCTAGTTCATTCTTATGGGCACATGTAGCATTTCAGGGAAAGATGGAGAAGAGCAGGGCTATGAATAACAACATGTGCATGTATTTGCTGTTCAGAAATCGATAAGCCCGAACAAAGGCATCAACACCCCAGATTTGGGCCTAATTAAGTTAGAATAGGAGTGATTGAGTCCGAACTAGAGGGGCCTCCTGTGTTTGCATATCCAACACAGGTGTTTCTAAGGAAATGATTAGGAGAATCTCTTCAGACAACTTAAGAAACAAACAAAACAATCATGTTCTATACCTAATTAATTTCAAGGTGATTTAATAACGGTTAATCTTCTTTGCCGCTTTTTAATGACGTGCGATTATACTCACAGCCAAGTCTAGGTGTAATGGGCTACTTAAAACTCTCACTACAATAGATAGTAACAACCACTAATGAATGGCCAACGTCTCATTACGGCGCATGTGGCTGGAAGCACAGCAAGAGTTTTGACTTATCCCGCCTTCTAGTTAGTGCCTTTTGTAGCTAAATGTCCTCTAGAAAAAAACTTCTTTTGAATTTGGGGACTATAGACTTGTCACTCTTGACACTGTCTAAAACCCGACCTTGTAATTTTAGTCTTGTGAAAAGGAGGTAATGAAATTCAATTCAACGAATACTTTAGAAACTTGCATAGTTTGGTTTGTTCCCACTAGTGGTACGTTATTTTCAGCTTAAAACTCTGAACCTATAAACTGTCTGGTCACTCACGTCCATTTTGAAAAAATAAAATAAAATGGCATGGGAATAAAAAAAAATGTACAGGATGTTTAACGACGATTTTCGAAAGAGAAAGACTAATAAGTGTTTATTGGTAAACTCTCGATTCGACAAAAACTAGGGCGAGCAATAGGTTTGTTGACATAATAAATGAGGCACAACTAGCTTTACCGCTGACCCGGCGATTTTGGTAAATATTCTACGAGATCGATCGTGCCTATGGCGAACTGAGCCGTTTCTATATTTTCCTGATCTGTATGCCCAGCTAGACTAATTAATCTGTGCAAGCACTACGCCAGCTGATTCATATCGTCCGTCCGCCTCGACAAATTTACATAATCGTGTATCATTCTACCTTTCGGAATAAAATAATCAAGGTGAACAAATATTTCACTTTCACAGACATTTCACATAATTTGTTTCCACGAGCAATCGCATGTCCATTTTATTACACCCTTGGTGATTGATTTAAACTGTCAAAGAAAATAGCACGAAGAAATATTTTTGCATACACAAATGTAATATTTATGGGATTCGTTTGTATTTGTAATGAATGAAACATCGCGTTTCATGTCGACAGGCAAACATATATGTAATGCCAATAAATTTATATATGTGCGCGCGTATTTATATGTAAACATGTTACATATATGTTCTTGTCGACTTATATAAATGTATACATAACGTCATATTTCATCTTGAAATATATCATTATATCAGAATGAAACACGAATGCATCGGCCAAAATGTATTCAAGTGTTTGTTCTGAAGTATTACTTGCAGACTAAAGGCTGCGATCCAACGTAGAAAAAAATCGAACAGTTCGTAGATCTTAACTTGACTTTGATTAGCTTGCCTTATCCACTCGAATAGCAAGTCTGTGGCCACTTGTATATTCAGCACCGACTTTATTAAGAGAGTTCTTTTGAAAAAGGATACTCTTATGAATTTTAATTAATCAGGCGGCTAATTGGCCTTTGTTGGTGAAGTCCCGATGATTGGGTGTCGAATATTTATTTATATTGTTCATGTAATTACCCTCGAGCACGCGAGCCTCTTGAATTTTCGCGATCGTTACGAAATAAACCAACACCGCATACGCGTGCCGAAGGGGGGCGGGATTGCGCTCTCCTTGTTTGTTTTGATATTTATTTTCCCTAATCGTCATCGCCCGAAGAGTACAATTATCACGATCAACGAACAATATGTTGTATATCCCCCTTTGCGTGTTCGGGCCTTGGTTAGGGACCGATCCGGTCTCTCTTGGGACGCTTAAAATGGTCAAATTTCATGATCTTACGCTAGAACCGTTCAACAGTTACCTCCTTGTAACTTTATCCGCTAATTAGGCATTGATCGGGGCTGTCAAGAGGCCAATGAAGATTAAAAATTTAATGGACATGTAACCGTGCACGTTATGGATGATAATTCAAAATTAATTAAATACCAACACGAACACTGTTGGGTAATAGCTGCATGTGAGAAATTTTGGCGGTACATTTTACCCAGAATTTAATTTTCTAGTTCGATGAATTATCCGCGCACACAGACGTGTTGAATGCAAAGGCGCCGAATGCGTAGACACACTTGCGATCGCTTTGTTACGTTTTTTCAAAGAAACAATTGTATGCATGGTTAGAAAGCAGACAAAGCTGAGAATTAATATTTTTAATCACTGGCAACAGAGATCAATATCTTCCAGAGTCGTGTTTCCTATAGTATATATCAACCAATTTATTTTCATGTTCCCGTGTCACCGACACTAGATTATCGTGTGTGTTATCAACTATCAAGGAATATTAACTTCCAAATCTATTCTCTATCTCGTATTTCACACATGAGCATAACTACTAATCAGTCTTTTTTATTTCCACGGAGCACTGACTTAAAAATGATTTCCAAGTTTTCAAGCAACACGCGATTTGAGGGGCATTGCTTCCGCCTTCGGGCTGCGTGCAGCTCCCTGTTGATCAATACTGGTTACAGCTCCTGTGAAATTTTACAGACATTTGGGGATTTTGTTCTGCACAATTCTAAAGATTTTCTTATCAATTTCCTTCATCTTTGAACGGAAACATTCTTAAAATATTTTCAACCCTTTATCAAACACCTTGTATTGTTAGCATAAGTCAAGATGAGAAAATACACGACTCCTTCGCGTTCCAAGTATTAGGGTTTTCTTTAAAAATATTCTTGGATATATATCATGGGTAAACATGACAAAAAACAAACAAATAAACAATCAATCTTACCTTTTCTTGTTGCTGCTGAATCTGTTTCATCAAGATACTCTTCTTTTTATCTTTGCATCTTTTATTTTGGAACCACACCCGAATGACCCGGGGACTCAGAGCGGTCATTTCGACCAACTGTTCCTTCATAAGGGCGTCCGGGCGCGGATTGGCAGCGTAACACGTCCGTAACGTGTGCAGTTGTTTTTCATTGAGTACCGTTCGAACCCGTGTTGTCTTTGACTCTTTGTGTGATCGACCTCTCCCGCTAGTCGGCATTGGTCCTTGTTGATCGTGGCCTGGAAGTAAGAGAATTTTTTTCTTCAAAAAAGAAAAACCCGAGCAATGTTTGCTATACCTTGGGATTAACGCTGGTGAAAAATATGATAAATTCTACATTTCATCACGTATGTGTGTTTTTGTAGTATCAGCAACCCGACTCGTGAGTACAAACAATACTACGTGGAGATATAAGAGGAGAAACTAAATCCAGTACTTAAGTCGCAGAAAAATGAATCATCCACAGAGACGAGCTGATCAATAGGACTACCAAACAATCCGAGCTCTCGACTTTATAAACAACGAAATACAGAAAAATTATCAATGAAGAAACAAGGAGAAAAGATGAGAATAATTGGAATAGAATTAAGTGGAAATAAACTCAATTATTTCTCCAGAGTTTGTTAGTCAGTGACATTGATTAGATCTGGATTGGCGGTAACATTAATTTTTTTAGTGTGAATGCAGGCCATAAATCTTCTTTATGGTGCCTCAGCCGATACATAATGCAATATTCCGCAAAGTAAATGCGGGAAAATATGTTGCAGGATATAATGAAGACATCTCCTCGGGGATTTCAAGGTAAATAAATTCTGCCTTCATGAAATTAAAATCGTCTATTGATTAAATGTTTGATGAAAAACGATTGAAATTCTATCAAGTCGACAGATTGCTTTGAAGCCGGTGCCGCACAAAAGGAACCTGATCGCGCGGATAGCCCAGAGGTAAGCGACCCGTCCTCTCGGGGAAAATGATTCTTCTACAACCCGACCAGCTTATGCCTTAATCAAATTTGTAAAAGCAACCGCGGAAAAGTTACACGATGGAAAATTGCATGACGTAACGGCCAGGTAGCCCGTGGCCTATCGGGTGCTTCGCCGGGACGCTCCCCTGAGGATGCCTGGTATGAAGGCTGATACGGTGCGGCTACAGGTAGTGGCACGAGGTCGTTCACGGGCCATTTGGTTTGTGTAATCTAGTCGCGTTCGGACCTACCACAGCTCTGCAGTCTGCGCCCGGATACACGACATGGCAGAAAAATATACAAACCAGAAAAATGATCTAAAATCGGCGCTCGCTGCTTTATATGGCAGAACTATATACAACCCTGACGCGGCTAGATTTTCTCCCCTACCACTACAAGTCTGACAGCACGCGTAATATACACAAACATGCCCCGATAAATTTTGTGTATTTTTCAGCCGTCTTGAGAATACCAGGGAGGCAGAGTTAAACCTATACTTACATGGTTTTGTAGACGTCAGTTGCCCGCCCGGCCCCACCCTGGGGTCGTTGTTGTTGTTATTATGTGGGACAAACTCGCCAGCGGATGCCCTTTCCACTACATCGTGGTCTGCTTTGCAAAATAATCCATCTTCGCGTAGCGCGAATTCGTCTCCTGGAATCAACTGTCTACTGCAAGCCACGCAACGAAAGCAGTCTATGTGGTAGATCTTATTCCTCGCTCGCATCACAAAGTCGTTTTTACTAAATCCGAGATTACATTTTGCACACTTGGTCCCGAATAATCTGAAAAAGAATGTGATATTTTAGAAGCGACTTGGCGCAGGGGGCTATGTAAAATATCTTTATTAAATTCGTCTTAATACTGCTGAGAATAAGGCAGACATATTATCAACGCTGCCGCTATAAAAATTGCACTCACATCGTTTATGTTTCAATAAAATCAAGATAAAAAATAAGAAAAAAAACTATTATGAAATTCCAAATGTTAGATTAAAAAATTCAAATCTGCATTTCATATCAGTATTCACAAAAAGGGGAAAATCCTGCAAAGACCAACATTTTGTGTGTATCATCATTAAAATAACATAAGACACGTCCAGTCCCTATACTCTGACAGAAACATTTACCAGTCGAAGATTTAGTTTCACAGCAAACGCATAAAAAATACACTTCGCCGGCCGCCATTTGTAAACACCACGAATTACAATGTAACACCATGCGATTTTCGCACGTTTCTCCCCAAAAGAAATTGCTGTGACCGAGTAATTTGAAGTCTATCATTTGGATGTTCTTTTACAATCAATGTGTAATAGTGTCAATATGAGGGAGATTTGGTTGAAAATTACTCGGTGATTTAGAAACAACTCCGCGTCAACCATTGTCTGTGGTGAATGAAAAATCAAACGATTTTGCGGCACACGGTTAATTACAATTTCGCGTGGCCCGATAGTCCTGGTTCCTAGCAATACAGACTCGACTTATCAATAAAATATACAACAAATTTATGTTCATCAAGACATTCAGAGGCTACCGGGCGTGGGGGTTGCTTGAAAGGTGTGAGTCCCAATGCTTATTACAAGGCACAGAAAATTAATCATAGTTTTTCTCCGTCAAGGCCACAAATCATGGTACTTGACAGTCAAAATCGGTTAAATATTGCTAGGAACAAGTCCCCCCGGTGACCGCCATTTCCTTGTCGTCTTAATTAACGTGGCAATTCATTGCGAACGTTTCGTGTAAAGAATTAGCCCAACTAGACTGGCTGAGGTGAATATGTCAAGCTCCGACTGACGAGAAACAGAATGTCTAATCCGTTCTAAAGTCTGGGGGAAACGAATTTATCAAATCTCGAATATAAACAGCGGCAAATACCCGCAAGGTTGCGCTGTACAAACCTACAGATTTGCGTGAATTCAGGGGCTTGATAGATTAGGAATTGGGGCCAATAGGGGATTCAGGTATTACACACGATATAAAATGGCTATTTTAATACTACCGCTTGAAGAGAAAGTGCGGCCCGCCTGGGGAATTGGATGCGATACCGATATGGTAATATTTTGAGTTACGGAAAGGCCTTGAGGGCTATTGGTAATGACCTCTTCTCACATATCCATACCACACTGACCGACGGACTATCCTCAGAACTGAAAAAGCTGCCGATTTGAGATCCGGATAAACACGAACCACGTAAAATTAGATCGACAAGATTTCGGAATAATTTACCAATTACCATTCGCATGTATTAGATTTGTATGTATCTGGGCTCAGTCGGGCGAGGGAATGCAATATCGCCGTGCATCTGCTCTGTGATTGCTGGTATTTCCTTAGCTTACATATAGATTCCAACACAAATGTGTCAACCAGTTTTGGTAATTTAATTTAACCTCTGTCCGCAGGGACGCTAAAACAGCCTACAGTAGAAAGGTGAAGATATTCAATGAAATTCATCTCCCAGGATATATGGCTGAGAAAAGACTGAAAATAGTTTTTATTTTGCTGATGCTGTTTTTCCCCCCTTAAGATTCAATTCGCCTCTAGCAACGTAAACGCTTTTGGCCTACTGTGAACCCTCTCACTTTGGCGTACTTTTCATACTACAGATTAACGGGAATGTTCAGACTTCATACCAACACAGGAGTCAATCCGGTGCATCGTACTCGAATATTGACAAGTGTCAATAAAACTGAGCCATCTAGCGCATCGCCTTTATTGTCACCCGTCATAGTTAACTTGGACATCCCTTAGCAGGGCTAATTACACCTGTCATGAAGATCGGGTCAAGTGGCAGTTACGTGTGGCCATCCCGTGTAGGCGGAGCTAGCTAATAAACCTCAACTGTCTAGCTGACAGCTTGCTGACAACCTGACAAACAGCCTGACAACCTGACCGCTAAAGAGAGCCCCAACACTGGCCAAACAAAACAGGCACCAGCGAGATAAAAAGTATGTTGTTAATGTCTCTTTCGGATTCTCACTGTAGAAGAAAGTCTCATTGCGACGGGTGACAGACGCGTTATCTATGTGACATGTTTAAATGGCATTTAGGTGACAATATCCAGTAACTGAAACTAAACATGATTGTCCTTAAATGAGGAAAACGGGCATTTAATCCGTGCATGTCTAACCATATAGCATACTATCTTAGAGAAAAATACACTCCACCTCGCCTACATTTTGGACTTTTTTGTCGCGGTCAGTGCGGTTGAAATTCTATGTACAGTCTTAACCGACCCCCCTTCCCCAGTTTATCTTAATTAAAATGATAACACTGCTGGCCTCGCGGACAAGGTGAGTTCCCATTGTTTAAGGACGCTTAGAATTTCTCCGCCACATGCATGTTACGACGCAAAAGGACGACCAGCAGCTGATCTTTGAAAAAGACAGTCAACCCACCTTACATAATCCCTCTTGCAATACGTCTTCCCGTCCCGAACGAAGCAGGTGCAAGACTCGTCGAGGTACTGACTACACTCCGTGCACTTAAGACACGAAGCGTGCCACTCGAGGTCCGGCGCTACCCTTAGAATAAACTGGTCTTGGATCTGTCCCCCGCACCCAACGCACAGCGACGAACGCCGTTTTTCTGGAAAAAATATATATACATAATTTTTGTATGGTGTTATTATCAGTTGTGTTGAATATTTCAATGATCATTTTTGTTAAGATCTTGTGTTATTAAATTGTAATCAACTGATATTATTTAATCTTTAATAGACGTGGTTTTAATAACGTGGTAGTTAATAAATACAAAATAACTAGTGTAGAGCCTATCTTGATTTTGGTTTTAAATACCAAACATAGCCAATCCTTTATTATATTAGTAAAGTTATAATATAAACCGTTGCTGTTTATTACCTAATTTCCTAGATAAAAAGAAGAGTTAAAATTCATTTCATGCACGTCGTGTATATTACTGCTAATATTTTGATAATTTAAAAATTATCTTTAAAGCACATTTAAATTTGTGTTTTTCGTCATAGCGAATATACATGATATACATGATATCAGTTGTGTAAATTATACTAGACAATTGTGTCACTGATACACTCCACTGTTCAATACATTCAGATCCAAACAAAACTTTTGACAGCATCATGAATTAATTGATTACTGGATTAATGAATTAAAAATATAATAAGCTTTATCCCTACAGTCCGCAAACAAAATACAGCTAATTATATTAAACAGCAATAATCAGATAAATGATAGGGGATAAACCAAAAATCAAATAATGACTTATTAAACTAATAAGATTTATTGTAAAAACGTTTCTGTCAGATTGTCGAGCGTGCGTTTCATGAATTGTTTCACATGTGACGCATACTCCTCGTGTGAATATCAGTTGGGTAGGCGGCCCCACTTACCAGCTTTACGTCTTCTTAAAAATGAATAACCCTGCTTCATTTTCTGCCTTAAAATACTATTCCAAGGAAACCCATGTAAATATAAACCGTGACATTAAGCTAGAATTTAAAAGCTATCCCGTGTAGGATTAAGCATCCTTTGCACATTAAATGGAGTTTACCCAGAAGAATCGTTGTGTACATTTCACTGTTTGTCACTTGGTGACACGAAAACAAATGTGCATTAAATTGCAGAATCAACACGACTAAAAACGCGGCACTTACTGTTGGGCTGGAGTTCCACAGCCATTGCCGTGTCGACCTTAGACGGCGCAATTTTGACGGTTGGAATAAAATATGAATAAGTTGTAGAGATTCTACTCCTGGCAGTAAAGGTATACAACTTCCAACTACTGTGAGTTTACACTAAATTGCTCAGCTCAAATGACAGGCACTATAAATTCTAGGTTGGTGGGAAACTGCTTTGTGATTGGTCAATCGGGGATCAACTGTCACGTGCCCGCCATGAATAACTTAGGATAGTACGCCCCCTATTGGGGTTTTAAGAAGCCTCTAGCTCAGGTGAGCGTTAAGAGTGATGCTTTTTGTATAAAAAAATGGTTTTAGTGAATAAAAAGCTGTTTTGGTTTCCTCATCTGTCATATCTCATTGAGTGTTGTCTTGATTAGTGGCTAATTTACTATCAGAATATTTTTTTCATTTATTATGACATATTTATCCAGAAAAAAAACCAACAATACATAAGAATAATTTCAATCAGCCCATATGGCGTGCACAGCGAGAAATCGCATGTCGAGCGAAACTTTCGCTACTCTCAAAGAAAGACCAAAACGGCCCTCCGTACACTGCTAATTACATGCCGCCTCGAGCACAGATCGTTTCACTCCCACCTGCCGTTTATAATGACTCTTGTAAACAGTAAAAACAATTCGAGGACAATACACGAGATTAATTAGGTACGTGTGGTTAATCCAAGAAAATTAGCCACATAAGAAAAATTTAGGTAACAAGGTCTGAAATCATAACAGGGCGTCTTGGGTCGCGCAGTTCGTTTTGCCGTTAAAGAACTAGACGCTGCGAAGGCAGGAAGCGCCTCCCTTTCCGAGTTCGTGAGGAAGACACGTGTGCGTGAAGAGAAAATAAGACAAAAAGACAAAGACTGGACGAGGAACGAAATCTGTGTGTATACGTGGCGAGATAAGATGAAGTAGAGAGTCAAACAATACAAATGTCAGAGGTTCGTGTCGTTTCCAGAGATGACATGGTATTTTGATAAATCTCCCACCGAAGAGCTGATTGGAAGCTAGCTATCGCAGCGGACACGTGGCTGTGTTTGGTAGATGTCTACATGCAAATAGCTCATCAGCGACTCCGGTTTCCAAAGAGAACAACAGCGAATTGCGGCTGGAAAATGAGATAGAATAGAGGTGCAGAATATCAGCGACACAGAATCTCATTTTTGATTGGTATATTACCTGAAAAATATCAAGTTACACGAAGCTATTACAGCATTAATCTCTATTTGCACGTTTTTCTGAGCAACCGTTTACAGGTCAATTTTCGAATAATTTATTTCTATCTTTTCGGATGTCATTTAAAAGAAAATATGAATATGGCGGACAGTCGTATAAAATGCGGTTAAAAGTAAATATATTTCAAGAGTGTAAAACAGAGAAACGGGACAGAGAGAGAGACTGCGTGTGTATAATGTTTATAATTCTTTGGTTTGAGTGACCTGACGGTGCAGTAAGAAATTCATTACCAGTCGCTTATGTCGATTTAGAAAGTTGATGAACCTAAGCTGAGAGAGAATTAAAAATTGATCATCGGCAAATATAATCATTTCCCGGAAAACGGTGCCTCCAATGAAAAATACCACAGTCCTTTGTTCTATGTCTTTGTGCCTATTTGCACGTCTTTTTTTCGAAATCAAATGACGAGAAAGGAAATCCAAGTGTCAATAACTGTCACCAAACGCAGTCAAGTAGAAGCTGCACTAACTGCAATTCTTCGAGCGTTTTGAAAACCTATTGAACTAATATACATCAATATACAATGGTGACAGTTAATTTTCTGACCCAGTAGATTCGTTGATTTGAGGCTGAAAAAGCATTGGCAATTCTTTTCACCTGTATTGTACTAATCATATCTAGGAGCAAGGCATGCTGACTGTGACCCCCACAACCTTCCTCCTGCAATGTTGTTGTGAGGATTGTGCAAAGGTGCCCAGAAACAACAAACCTCGGAGGGGATCCTAAACAATATGGCCATAGAAGCAGTGGTATTTATTCTGAGTCGAAGGAATAGCGCACATTGTTCGCCAGTGTTGTTGCAGTGTGTGTAATTGTCCGACCAAATCTGCCTGTCATCATATTTAAATCGCAGTGCAAATATGCTGGAACAGTTCTGCTGCTGGCCAATTGATTGGGAATAAAACAAGAAAACAAAAGAGCCAGTCTCAATGTCCAACGACCGTGTGAAAGACAACGGCCAAGACCATTGTGCCACTCGTGGATTCAACCAGCGCAAGTTCCCTACGATGCCTAAATAAAACATTGATATTTTATTGTTGACGGACCGTTTAACGGGCCCCCAAGCTAGATATCCGGGGTTTCTAAGACGATTGTGTGTTCCTTCTGAATGAAGTGCGTCTATCTATTCCGCCGTAATCTTAGGTCACTGGCAAACATGATTCCGATCAATCTCGATCTCGCGGGAGATGAACAATTAAGCTTGTCAATGAAAATTGATTATTTAAGGTGTCGCATTTCTGAAAAGTATCAATGCGAAACGCTCCAAAGATTCGCCTTGGCAAGGAACTGACAGCTCGCTCTCAACTGTCAATTTTTGCGCTAATTTCCACCTCCCTACTTTTTATCAACTTTTGAAATGTGGTGGGTCACGGCAGGGGCCGTTGTTCAAGTCGACGGGCTTAGGCGCAGATCAGTTTTCCTTTTTTCTTCGATCGGGTAAACTGTGACAGGTCAAACAAAAATTGACAGATTTTTCTCTCGAGGGAGAACGTTCACCGGGGTGAGCAGCACCTGGCCTGCCGCGGAAAGTCATCTCTCCCCGTCAGGTGGGCTGGTCTTCCCCGCGGTGTCTCACTGATCGCACAATCACCAGCTAGGTCCCTAAGAGGCTGTAATGGGGCGGCTACAGTTTCCTCGCCCCTGGCTTCGGTCAACAGGAGGATAAAGATAGACAAATTTATTTTGCTTTAGATGCTCACCTTGGCCACGGGATAGCTTTTGAAATTAGTTATTTACAAAATGATGAAATTCGACGCCGCGGATTTACATGCACAAAAACACGGCTTGTGGACGGGGTGTGTTTATAATAAGATGAACCGACAGATTGCCCAACATTCAGATTTATACACTGCGTTCCCTCGTACTCTCAGCAAAACATCTGAAGTTTGTTTCTCTACCTGTAAGTCGATAAGAGCACAGACCAGACTTGGCGTCGCCGCCACTCGATCCTTACCACAATCGAGGTTTGCGTTACCCGATCAAAGCTGGTATCTGTTTCTTTTTCACCTGGCGGCCGCTACCCGTCCGTCCTGACAACGGAGTCTCGCGGCAAGAAGTCCCTCTATATTCTACCGATTAAAACGAAATTATGATACGTGTGATGAGGATTTACAAGTTATACTAGTCAATCAGAATTATCAGAGTGCAAACACGGCAAATCCACGAATCTGTAGCAATGATACGCGGTAATCCGTCGCTCATATCGCTGTAATCTCATTACACAAAAGTCGACATGGAGAGCACGAGCGACAATGGCATTTTTGCCGACCCCTGACACCTCGTCCTCCCTTGAGGTGTAAAACAAGCGATTAATTTTCTGAAGGTGTAACCTGCGCGTGTTTTGGGACCATCATGAACGTCTTAAGGGGAGACTCGCTCTTTCAGTGATTCCTCCACCGTTTCATGATTTCAAAACTTGAAAAGAAAATCCAATAATGTCTGTCCTGCCTACTCTTGTGTGTTTGTATTTTATAGTAATATATCAAAACTGTTTACAGTTTAAAGCGAGTGCGATTTATAAAGGTAATAATTTAAGTAACAGCACCGTTGACTGGGTTCGAGGGGAGTTCGATTGGATTACTTTTTGGATAAATATCTTCCGACATCGCGACTGCAGACCTACAAGTTGCGTATTTATCAAAGGCAATTGATGATAAGCAAATTACAGCAATTCCGTGATCGAGTAGGTAGTGATTAATGTATCTGTCTCAATCAAATCGCTTAAAATTTGTTGGCGGTAAGCTGTGATCGTAGCGGGATGACCAAATGTCCACTAGTCGTCGCCCAGTATCCAGTGGCCAGAGACGCCAGGGGATCATTTTTCACTGTCCCTTCAGGTGGTCATTACAAAGGAGTGGACACCTTGCTAACTGTCACATTAAAGAGGCATCTTAGCGTCCCACTACCACGGCAAATTTCACCTGCCATTGTCAACTGACGGCGCGTGTAAATAGTTGGGGTCTTACCTCTTTCAAATTTAATCAGAGCTTCCCGGACCGTGATAAATGACAGTGGTGGCCATCGAGCCATGTCCAAGGAGGGGGACTCCGATCCCGCCTTGTTTGTTTTCTTATCTTTCTTCTTTGAGGGGATAAGATTCACTGTAAACATTGTCACCCAGTCGGAAAAACATCATGCGGGGCCCTAGTCGAAATGCCCGGCGTCAAAGGCGAGCCCCTTTGGTGGTGACGGTTCCGCACCTCGTGCGCTGTCGTAATCGTGCTGGGACGTCTCCCCGTAGAACCAACATTGTCTCTATCAAACATGAACGCCGCGTTCAAGGACGGGGACTATCAACTTTCAGATCGTATCTTACCCCTTATTATAAGTAAATTAAAGTTTGGGGACTTTTCGTTCGCTTTCTGGTGAACACTGTATGAACTGCGTGATACCCAAGCATCTAGCTGTCACAAAAAGAAATTATACCCATTGTTTGGTGCAGGTATCAAGTTTTCTTCTGTCTCCTTCGTTACCTCATTTGGAGACCAGTGATAGCGACAATATAAAACTATAATACCGAAAGTAATAATCAGTAAACGATAAAAACTAGAACGGCCTGAAAATTATCAGAGTTAAAAAGGTTCACTTTAAACTCAATTTAGACACGTGTTTGTTTTCTTCTTTTTTGACGTTTACTGCTAATATGTTGTAAATTAGACCTGAGAATTCATTTTGAAAGAAATGAATATCGAAACGAAAATGAGATGTCCCCAATTTAATGTAAAACAATTAAATACTCTCTTATTAGAAGTTTAACAGGTTAAGGTACGTTTTAAAGAAAAATAAAAAAAACTAATGTCACTTTGAATTTCTGTATTGTTGTTCTTTTTTTAAATGTCTGGTGTTATGTTTCTCGATAACAACGAATTACTCTGATATGTAATTGGTTAAATTCGATCACGAATCACGGTATTGATACTTTCCATTAATAGCTAATATCGTCAGATTCAGCTAATTCATTCATTCATTCATTGAAATATTGTAGACAATTACGTTTTCACCTTTTTTTCACTTTGGTTGTTTCGACCCAACTGAAATAATTTACCATCTTTTGCCATTAATAGCCTCCGTTCCTTATCTCAAATTTCTGTCTTCTAATTGACAACAATTTAAATGTGTTAACATTTCATATTCAAGTCAAACAATGTTATGTTTATCAATCGCTAAACAGGCTTAAATTTGATTTAAGAAATCGCCATCTATGCTTCTCAGTTTCTATGAAGATTCTGCACATTTTTGTTACATATCTCAGCACTTTTTAATATATGAATTCACATAATGACGGCTGTCTGTCGTCTTTCCATCGACCGCCATTTTTAATGTGTACATAGGCAATAGATACGGGGATAGTAGTCTACAGTCAAGATTTAATTGTCTCCTCATAATCGAAGACCAATGAGAAAAAACACGTCCGTAAACATTTTAGGAGACATCCGCATTCAGTGTTCATTAATGAATGAGAGATTCGACCTCGGCCCGAGTTATTTAAATGAAAGGAAAATATCAGGCGAGAAACATCAGCGACTGCACCTGAGACAACAAAACAAAGGAAAGCAATGATTGAAATATTGAAGCAAATAACGTAATTTATAATCCTCCTGTCTGGGCACGAGTTTGTGTAAATATGTTGGTGTGTCGGCCGCTCACAGGCACGTGTGTACGAGATATCGACAAGTTTCTAAATATTGGGTGTGCATTTTACGTAAGATCCTCAAAACCGCGCATATTGAAAATTAGGAAAATACGTGGAAGACTGAACCGCGTCCGAGCTTAGGAAGAAGTTATCCACAAGTTTGCTTGAGACATCAAAGAAGCGCAGGACATAAACAGGATTTGATAACATAAAGACCACAGAGTGCAATGAAAATAGATTGTGGGTTTCACAACAGATGACATCGTCTAATGAAGTATTTGTCCGTGTGTTGATGTTGAGAAAATTGCTCATTACGTGCGGTAACGTGACTCTCAAAGCCATCCAGCGGGAAAACCCTTTACCCGTTTACTGATTAAAAGGATGATCGCACGCGAGGCACGCGCGCGCACGCGATCGCCATAATTTCACAAGTAGACGCAAGTGTGTCAATCTTGCCTAGTTGATGATCAGTGCTTAATCTTTCTAATTAATCTGGTCCCCACACACGGTTCAGTCCCCCTGCACAACGGGCCCAATGTGGAAAAATGAATGATTAACGGCGGGAAAGTCTTCCAACGCCGCAATAAAACTGATCATACATATAAAGCGCCCACGTGAGCGGCGTAGTACTAATTATCCGTAAACGTAGCCCCATCTATAATTGTAAATACAAGCGATATATCATAGTCATTCTGTCGACACAATGTCTGCAGCACAGGCGATATTTAATAACAATACACAAACGTTGGTTTTATTATTAGATATAAAAAGAATACTGAAAAGAGGAAAGAATATTTCATCAATATTCTATCCCACCTGCAAAGTGCCGCCAACTCATGGGAGGATAATGAGATCTAAAATGTTCTTATGGCCGAAATTACAAGAAAACTAAAAAGATACATACACCAATAATGCATTTGTAGTTCATGATTCTTTCTCATCCTTTTATAATCCCAATGTATTGTCTTTTCAGTACAAACTAACCTCCGTGGCTGGTCGTTTTAAGAAAAGAAAACACGCGTCTGAAGTATCCGAGAATGTTGTTTACGCAAGAAAAATATTTTTAGCATTTGCATGTATGTATATATGTAATTTATGCCTTGTATATGCAGTGTGATATCGTTGCACCAAGTAGTGCCCAAGCCAAAGGACACGAGAATGATTATACAATGATAAACATCGGAGACTAGATGTGTTCGGTCACTTACCGCGCGGCTGTTGCGACTTACATGTACGACAGTGGACGCACTAATGTTCAAACATTGCCAACGCTTGAAAGCTTCTTTACAGGTTCGAGCAGGGGTGGGAGCAAATGCGTTTTAGTGCGCGTTCTTTACGATTGCGTGCACACAGCACAAACACGCATACTGTCACTAACACTTTAAAACAAAATTTTACCAATATAACCAAAACAAAATGTGACTGTGACATTAACGTTTGTATATAGGCAAATCTGTGGAACTTGATCGTCATGATAAAAGGGACGAGGTTGCAGTAGAATAAGAGGTGTAAAGTTGCATGATGCCACCCACCCTATAACATGTTCTTCCCTTCAGCATTTTTAAAATAACGCGAAAATTGGTTTGAGCGCACCTGTCTCCCTCCCCCCTCCCTATCTCTCTCAAACCCGACTCCACATCCTTGTTATGGCTTGATTAATTACATAAATACATGTAATAGATTAAGGAAATCAGCCCATACATATATATTTTTTACAAACTTAATTGTTACTTCGTGTAGGCGGCTTAAGCCGTTGGGTTTATAATGAATGAAATACCAGCTTATACATAGACGAGCACGCGCGTGTGTATGTGCATATTAATTGTAGTTATGGTATAAGAAATAATCACCTCGAAAAACTTTTTGTCACAAAATGACACTTAAAATGGTTTTGTTATTATCTAAACAACTGTTTAAGGCTTGAAGAAAATGCCTCTTTTGTCAGACTTGTATGCTCTGAGGCATTGGATTCACCTTAAGATATAATAATAATAATAATAATAATAATAATAATAATAATAATTTATTAATATTTTAATCAATTTTCAAAGGCACTTTTATCTGGTAAGTTTGGACCTATTTTATCCTTCATGAACGTGAACGTGTACCCATTTATCATTAACTGTGTTTTTTGTTTTCTTGTCAATTTTTTGCAATGTAGTGACCCTATCAAATAATGAAATTCAAAAAAATCTATTGTTTGCTTTTGATAGTGATATTCAGAACATGACAATATCTTCTCGACACTATGATCGAGCCGTACGTGGCGACTTCAATGAAATGCTGCCGAGGCAGAGAATTTTTCTCATTTAAAAGACGATTTTTGATTCCAAAAAGGAAATTACACTCAGTAGGTATAATATACAGTGGAAATTGGAATTTCGGCCAATTCTCTTTATCTGAACGAAAAACTTGATCACTTCCGATTCTTCATTCAGTCGCAGGAACCTCTGGGAACTCGGTTTCATTATCCCCGCTTTTCCAGGCATGAAAATGTAATTTTTCAACAACCAACTGCCTTTCTTTAATTTCTGAGTGAATTTTTCAGCCGTGAGATGAAAGATATTATTTACTTCAATCACAAGAAAGAAATCAAACAGCGTTAAGCGGCGCGGAGAAATTGGATTAGGAAAAAAGATCAGTTTGCCAAGTTGCAATAATGAGTAAAACTTAACAATGACTGTAAGACAATAGGCAGGGAATATAATTGATTCAATCAATTTTTCTTTGCGTGTGATATCATCCGACTTTTTCAAACGTAACGTTAGTTCCTCCTAAACGACACAGAGAAGACTGATTTTTCCCACCTAAACCTATTAATAATACATAAAGATAGACCGCGGTTAATTATTGATAAGCACCCAGTAAGTCTTTTAGAAAAGGATATCGGATAACTACAGGAAGAAAACTCACAAAAATATTTTTGGAATTATTTATGTTTTTTACGTTACACTAATTGTAAAAAAAGGTTAAATGCAATTAATGTTTAATATAAATCCCTTGTAGTTGAAAACATCGACTAAAGTTGCATTCACTTCATCAATCTTTAAACCATACCAAAAAGAAAACCGTGATTAAGAAACAGAATTCGGTAGCTGATTTATTAATCTTTTAATTAAGCATTACAGGAAATAACAATGTTTTAACGTCATTTCTCTGACGTTTTTTTTTTTTTTTTTTTTTGTTAAATTTCTTTTCAATAGGATAATAACTCATGACCAATACATAACTTGTCATTACATATCACAGTTATTATACCTTAACTCGTGGTGAAAAATTTCCCCGAATAATGAACTTCCTGTTGAACACAATCATTTTCAAAAATGAACAGAAAATCCTTTCTGCTGATAATCATTATATTTCACAACAGGAAACCTCAAATGCACTTTGTGAAACCATGAATGTAGATATCTAAAAGTTCGCAATATCTTAAATTTAAAACAAGTTGTCCTTTGCGTTGGACAAAATGATAAATGAAGGTTAAAAAAAAACTCGAAGATTGGAGCCATCATGTTGAGGCTCCAAGTAATAAAAAGTTACTGAAAGCAACATCTCGCTCCTTTCTCTCTTTTTCTTCACACTCATGAGTATGTATATATATATTTGTGTGGTTACATTATTAAAAGAACACAGGAGATGTTGTCCATAAAATTTGCTTTTACAATATCTTAAATAGGACATGATGGGAAACAGAGAGATTAACCTTTCCTTCCACAGTGAGTATCACTAAAAACACCGACTTGAGAACAAAAGACATGCCAGCAAAGTCATTCCTTGTGTATGTGCTACAAATGTTGTTCTCAACTACAAATGATATGCTACTTGCACTATTGGGCAACTGAAGGTCTGCTCCAATAAAGTTAACAATCTTTCAAAATTATTTTTTGTGAAAGAAAAATGAGGTAAGACAAATATGGAAAGAGGTGGCTTTTTATGGAGAAAATGTGCCTCAAATATTTTTACTTTAAGCTCAAACTTTATAAAAAAAAAAATCAGCATCAATTATCTCATTCTTGCGTTTTAGAAATACCATTCAAAGAACTTCAATACAAAATTACAATTTTTCCTGGCATCAATGACAATTTTTCTGGAACTCACAAACTGTCTCTCTATCAAGTTCCAATCTAAAAATTATGTAAATGCATACCTTTAAAACCACATTCCTTTTTTATTGGATTGAATTGTTGCATGCACTCTAAACTTTCACTTCATGTGTAATGCAACTTTTGAGCAGGGGTAAATATCTGTAGCATAAAAAAAAGCACATAGGCATATCTCTGACAATTAAGAACAGACTATATAAACAGAAAAGAAGGTAATTTTTTTAAAAACTTCATCCTGTCTGACAACTAATTCTGTTCATTTAAAATAAGCAAAGAAATACTTATTAATACTGTAATCTAACCTTACCACTCTAATTTATAGCAAGCAAAAATAAATCAGCAGATGGTGACAGGCATGCATCACCAGTATCTGAATCAAGACTGAAATAGTAGAAATACTAATGTGACAGCAAGAAGAATAAATTAACATTAAACTTAAGCTGCAATACAAGTCAATGTCTCTTAAGAATCACATAACTTTTTAAAATTAAAAATCTGATTATGATAAATTTCAAATCTGAACCCTACAGTTGGGAAAGCCAATTTACCAGATACCCTGATCAGATACATTTTCAAAGCTGAGCAGCTTTTCAGTCCCAATAATGGTGTCTCCAGAATGGCAGAAGCAAAACAGAAAACTTCGATTTTAATTTGGTGAAGGGTTAGGGTTCAGTGGAAGCATGGAGAAATGCAGGGATCTCCTGTTAACACACTCTATAATGTGACTGCGAATCACAGACATTCTCCAACTTTTAGCATTGATATGGAGCTCAACTGAATTCTTCACATCTCTTTTTATTAGTAACAGTCAACTTCAGTAACGACAAACATTGATATTTGATAAAAGACACAAAGTATCACAATGTCAAGGCATTTTTCTTTGGCCGCGGAGGGAGAGGGCATCTCTCCTGCTTTAAAAACATATATGCGATCCATAAAACACATCATTTGATGAACCTTTGCAGTTGTTCATAGACTTCTTTATCTACTAAGTCTATCAGTTGTTGAAAGCCACTCTGCCCATGTTGCCTCTGCACTTGATGCAGCTGTGATTGCAGATAATCTATCAAGGAAATTCTTCGCACTGGATCTTGGAAAGACAACTGGAAATATTTAAACAAAGAAATGATCAAAATGTTTAAACAAAGAATTGGTATTTGATCAATCTAATTACCATCAACTTAAAGGGAAATCATTGCTCACAGCCGAGTGGTTGGTAAACGCCATTATTACAAGTTGGAAATGTGAACAAACAGAATATTATCAACTCATACTCTATGCTGATAGCTGAATGATTAATTTTCTTATTTGGATAGAATGTTATTTTCTTTTCAGTCAAACATGAAGCTGATTAAGTCCAAACAAATGTTATTTCAATCAATGAAAAGAACACTGCAGTAACCATGACTTGGATATCTTGAATATTAAAATCACTGAAAAAAAAAGAGAAAGGATATTTGAAAGATATTTTAATTGTTAAATTCCATGCCATGAAGACAATTCCTCATCATCAGACGATTTCTGGTTCTCAACACATTGAGATTTCTGGTTCTCAACACATTTTTCAAACCCTGCTCAACTACCACAATCTGCTGTCCTTGAACATATTTACTGCCATCACTACTATGATGCTCTTTTACCTCACGTTTTCTTCTATCATGCTCTGTTTCCAACTCGCATTCTCCTTGGTCTGTGGCAGGTTTCTCCATAATCACCAAGCCACTGAAATGAGGAAAATATCAATAGCCAATGATAAATAAAAATAATGAAACTTGGTTTCAATTCTGTATTGTAAGAAATGAAAAAGCAGAAATTTAATGAAAAAGATTATGAGATAGCAAAACTTTCTGATAAAGAAATTTTTCATTCTCAATGAACTTTCAACAGCTTATTCACCAAAAGCCTTGAGGCTGAGAATTTTTGGGGATGATAATCAATCCAGACACATGATTGAAAACATTTCCATAGTAATAAGAATACCTCTTTTTTTAAAACTTGGATGGAGATTTGTTTTGAATTGCACAGAAGTTTTGTTTTTCGGTAGCTTTGTGAATACAACCCCAGTAACAGACAGTATCTACATTTTAAATTCTATCTCCAAAATCTAAATTTACCATAATTACAATACAAGTAAAGATGGGTCAACCCCAGTTAAGTGAAATGAGACCTGCCAAATGATTTTCAGTAACTTGGACTTACTCTACTTCTGCTCCTTCTTCATTTTCACTGCAGACGTCATGCAGTATTTCCACACACAAATTGATGACGCCACCAAATCTTTCATGCACACAACTGAAATGGACAGGAAATAAATGGCTGAAATGTTTCATGATTGATATTTTGAATGGGCAATTGTTAAGTAAATAATTTTCTCACTTTATGTGATGTGAATATTGTAGGTCTGGAAAAATGGAGACCACAGAGAAAATTGATACTTAAAAATTAGGTTAAACACTACTTTTGCATTATGAAATGTTAGGCAGCCACTATGAAAATGAATCATTTAATAACATAAACATGACTAAATTAAAAGCAATACATAATTTTAAGTATTACTTGCCTTATATTAGAAGGGATCAGTGATGCCACAGCCATGGCAGACAATTTCCTTCTGTCTGGATCAGCCATGTTGTCAATTCTGTCAAACCAGATGTCCAGAAGTTCCCCAAGAACTTCTTCTTTCTACAAGTGAAATTAAGTCAGCTGCTGTAGTCATATCAATATGTTTAGGAAAATCTTAATACACAGAAGGCACCATTTTGAGAGACCAAAAGTGCTTAATTCTGGCATTGCATTAATTCTGGCATTACTATCACTTTTCTCTTGATGGCCACAGAGATGTTACAAAAACCACTAGAATTTTTTTTTTTTTTGACGGAGGCAATGTTATAGAAAATTTCACTGAAGCTTAATGGGTCCTTTTAAACCCTCATTCATATATACTTACAGTTTGGTTTCTGGACCGTGAAAAGTGTTCAAGGAAATTCCAGAAGAAATTCTGATTTTGTAACAGCATTCTGGCTACTATGGATAGGTACACAGACATTATCATGGAAATTTCCTACAGAGGGAAAGAAATAAATATAGGCAAAAATATTCAAAGAAACATTCATTATCTAGTACATTTTTAAAAACATATTTTATGCTTGGAATGCCAAAACTGCATCTTTTAACATTCATTACATAAAAGACATGCAGAATCAACTAACTTGGAGTTTCAGAGATCGAAAGCTGACTCTGTTCTTGATTCTATTGAAGAATTAAAAAAGAAAAACAGTTCAAATCATGCTGGATTTTATAAAATTATATACTTTACCTCTTTGTTCAAAATATTTTTCAATATCTTTGGCAGCATCTGTGAAAATATCTGAGGACCCTCAGAGGGGAAGGTTTTAAAAATCAGTTCTATCAACTGAAAAGAAGTATGATATATTTAAGAATACATCAATAGTAAACAACAATCAAAGAATGTTATCAGGTAAATGTAAAAAAATATTTAAAAATATTTAAAATGCGAACTTAACAATGTGAAATTAAGGAAACTAAATTACAAGGATACTTGTCTATCACGTAATAGAGTCTATGTAATTTCATATTTAACACTATTAGAATAAATAAAAAAAATATGGTAATAATTTGATCTTTTCAATGGGAAAATTCATGAAATTTTGAGATACTGCATTTTTTTCTCACAAATTTTAAAAATTAGAATATTGGTGTATTAGCAACAAAACAGAGAAGCAGGCTTTCCCAGGGTTCTTTTCAAAAGTAAAATATTTTAGATCATTCCAAAATCATGTTCTTAAAAAATTGATCATTTTTCCCCATTGAAAAAGTTGAATCATTACTGTACAAATCAACATGACCAAAAACCTACCCTCATAACTATGACCACACCATCTTCCTTCAGATCTGTCAACAAGCTGCTGAGAGAAGAAACCAGACTACCTGCATACATCTAAAACAGGTACAATGATCATATCACAATTTCTTCAAAAACTGAGTGGGTATTGTTTTTAATCATAGACATGTAAGGAGTATTTTTTACAGAGTGGGGGGGGGGGGGGTAATGGAAAAAATAATGTTCTATGAAATTTGAAATGGCAGGCTGGGGTCTGGGGTCAAACATATATAATATCTTAAGGAAATATTTAGGGGTATTCTTTGCATAAATAAGTGAACAGGGCCACTTAACATCAAATGCGTGAATCACTATTTTTTTCACTGAGAATGTATCATGATTTTACTAATCGATGAACTTGTAAAAATCCAGTTCTTCTTTGGTAACAGATTATAATTTTTGGATAGATAAAATAATGTGTTTCTACAGCAATCATTTTGCAAATATGAAACATTTAATCAAATCATTTAATTCAACATTTTGATTAGTGATACTACAATTCTCTTCCCTCACCTCCATGTATTCTGTTGCTCCCAACATCAAGTACGCTTCAATGATTTTTAAACAAGTTCGAAGATTTTCTGTACCCATTTCTGATGAGAAAAAAGAAGAAGAATACAAAATAAATAGAATATATACTGCTTAATTACTGGTATGTACATTTCAATGATTATAAGGACAACATTATCTGGACAAATATAAAAACAAGAATAAATCAATACAAAGTAAATCAATGCTGCTCATTAACAGATGATAACATTTTGAGATAAAAGCGGTTCACTCATAAAATTGATGTTATCAATGGTGGCATTCAATACATATTTTCCATCCTATATTCCTGTGTTCATATCAATTAATTTACAATGTTTTGCCTCTTATCTCCAATATTTCACATTTTTTACAAGCAATTCTCTTTGCTCAAGCCATTAGATATATTATATATCTATATATCCTCCCAGTGATACTTAGATACTGATACTGGGAGTATATACTAAATAAGACAAACACATCAGGTATTTCAATATGGCAGCATTTGAATATTGTTTTTTTTTTTTGTAAAAAAATTAAAACTTCCATGAAACCATCAGTAACATCCACATGATGAATTTGTCTTAGCCTGTCTGTCTGTTTATGAATCTATCTATCTATTAATCTATCTACCTACCAGTATCTATCCATCCATCTATACATCCACCCACCCATCCATCCATCGAATGATAGATATAGATATAGATATTTACATCTGCCTTCCATTTTTTTACCAACATCTGAATCAAATCAAATCAATCTTACCCAGGAGGAATTTGTCATAGTACATCTACCTATCTTTGTATGGATATAGATACAGATATGGATATAGATATAGATCTGCCTTCCTTTTTCTTACCAATATCTGAATCAAATCAAACCAATCTTACCCAGGAGTGCACTCATGTTACTGTGTATCTGCAACAGCTCCTGTGTAATTGCTGGGGAGTTCTGAAGAGTTTCTAGCCAAAGTTCCAACCCATCTTCCAGCAGGTAGACATGGGGCTCCTGGTGTACATCAGTACTCAGCTGGATCACAGGCAACAGGAAACTATACATAGTCACACACAGCTTGCCAAGTCCCTGTGTTAAGATAATCCAAAAAAACACATTCATCAATTACCGAACAAAAGGCTGGCAACTAGGTGGTAGAATGAGAACTTGAAATTTATTTACTCAAAATTATAAGCAAAAGTTTTACACTTATATATTGAAAGACAAGTGGAAGTCATTTCAAAATATCACACAAATCTAAATCATACACATGCTTTAAACACTTGAGCTTCAAGTTTGCTCAAATAAATGAGGACAAGAAAGTCAGAACTCATAAGGATGCAATAAAATGGAGGCCTGAAAACTAGAAACCAGGGTAACTTTTCCCATTATCAGCACATCTATATCTTTGTATTCAGAATCTGTAAAATGTGGTGACTCTGCCTCTTAAATCACCTGTACTAAATGCACGAGTGTGGTGAGGATGGCACATCTGAGCATGTTGTGGTGTTCTGAGTCTTCCCACAGTAGAGGCAGGTACTGAACCAAGGCAGTGGCATGGGGTCTGATGTGGTAGCCAACTCTCTCCACCACAAAGGACAGGACATGGAGGACCTGCATCTGGAGACAAAAATGATATTTCAACAATTAGAAATGTGTTTTGTCGTTTAATAATTTTTATACTAGCTGTCTTATAGATAATGTGAGAAAAAGATCGCTTTTCTTACTGCAAAACTGTGATAATGTCAACAGCCGAGAATTTTTTAAATACCTTTTTTTATTACAATAATTTTCATCTCAACAATATTAATTGAATCTTACCCACATGGCCTATTTTACAAAATAAAATAAAAATTCCCCTGTGTCTTATTTATAATCCAAGTAAAAGTACTGTCAGTAATGTAGTCAGGAATGTTTGAGTTTACCTTAGTTTCACATTCTGACACTTCCTTCAACAACTGGAAAAGTAGCCCAAACAGAGGCTCCAGATACTGAAAAAGAGGCAATTCTTTTTATTTACTGAAGACAATGATAAAAACCACTGATTTTAACAGAAAACATTGTGTAAAAAGTGAGATTTTGAACAAAATTCCATAATTATAGTAAAACATGAAAAGCATTCTTCTTATCGAGAGCTAAAAAGAGGAATTCAATTAAAAGAAAATCATTCATGTTTTACATGAACTGTATACAGAGTTCTCCCTTATTTCGTTGTTTTGCATGCTTGATGTTTTAAAATATCTGACATTACTTACTGGCATAAACTGCTCTGTGTTGAAATCTATATCATCAACAGGTACATGAAAGTTAAGGAAATGTGGCAATTTCTTAAATTACTCAAACTTTATCATTTCAAGGTACTCGATCACACTTATAAGAAGCCAACTTACTTTCCACAAATATTTGAAGTATCACAAATGAAACTGTTAATGCTAGTAAACTTTGTAAATGAATTAATGCACCCTGAAAAAGAGGTTTAATTTTTCTATATTCATGATTTAGATAAAAGTTTCTGTGAGGTGATTTGATATATGTTTTTAGAATTTTAACATCTAACTCAATTTTCACTGCGGAAATAGAAAATTTCATCCCTACAATTTAACAATCACAAATATCCAGAATCAGTAAACAGAACAATACAAGCTTCCAAGGATATCAGCTTTCAGTGTGCTGGCAGTCTCTAGTCTGACTACCAGGTCTTCTGGTTGCTTCAACAATGGCAACATGACTTCATATAAGGCAGGTCTCATGTTCAGTGAAAATTTCACTCCAACCCATTGGCCTATGAGCCAAATCACTCTTCTCCTAATTATTCTGAAACTAAAATTTTGAAATAGGGTTCTTAAGATGTGATTTACCAAGAAAAAGACAAAATCTATCTAGATTCTTGGATTGGAACTAACAAGAATATCTAAGGAAAATAAACTATACATTCAAGTATATAATTTTAGAATGGTTAATTAACATTGAGAAATATTTGGTAGCATGCATTTGAAGCAATGCACAAGACTAATTTTTTCTTTATTGAAAAAAAAATTCTTCCAATGAAGTACTTACTTTGAATGCGACTGCTGTAATTCACTAACAAGTTGTCCAGTGAACCAATTGTCAAAGTCAATTTCATCAAACAGGTCAAAGGAGGCCAAGCCAACTGCATTATACACTGGAATAAAAAAATAATCTTTACTGAAAATTCTTTTCTGAGAAATTACCAGTAAATAAATATTTGCCATTGTGATGCCTTAAAAAAGCTTAGGTAACAGCTTATAATTACTGAGCAATATTCAGGTATATATCCAATAATGTATTTTAATATTTAGTAATACCAATCTTTTGTAATTCACAAATTAATAATAACAATTACTAGTAATCAGAGGTGGGTCAAAACAAATTAGGATGACTAATAATACAGTTTTAAAGATCTGATTTGAATGTTTTCATTGAGGACTAACAATTGATCTACACAAATATGTCCGCATATGAAAATTCGTGTATGAATAAATGATAAACAATGCGTGTGCGTGTGCGTGCGTGTCTGGATTATTTACCAGCATCTTTTTTCAGCACAGCAGTTAAATCAGCAGGATCCAAGTTGTTTCCCTCCACTTGTTTCACCATCTCCAGTAACACAGGGGTCAGTATCTCCCTGAACTCCTTGAATAATGTCAGAAACAGCACCTCTGTGCAGGGCTGAGGTAAAAATTGAATAAAGTAAAATACAAATAAATAAACACTGTACTTCTTTATAACAAAAAAACATGCTCTGGAAAAAGAGTCCAGAAAGAGGTTCAACACTTGATCGTTTTTAGTTCATCATCTTTGTAAATTATGCTATAATACCGAGTCCATTATCCTTAAGTATCATCAGCCTTTCCAATGGTTGACTTTAAACGGAAAGTGAAAAAGTGCCATAAAAATATGGATATTTGCATGTTGTAGAATTCTCAGTGTGTCAAGAATCTAAATGTTTGCCTTGTATTTATATATTTAACTTTATTTATTGAGGGTAATAATGACAATAAATTTATTCATCTAATATGTACATTTTTTTGTTTGTGTAAAATATATATCAAAAACATGAAACATGATCAATATAAAATTAATCTTTCCCATGGCCCCATGAGGTTTGTTGAAAATAAATAAGCAAAAATAAAAATTTCACACAATATTATGTTAAAACTTTCAAATTAACAATAAAAGATGTTAACAAATTAATAATGTTCAATAGCAAAAATAACAATCCTCATTTTCACATACTGAATGTGAAAACGTAACTTACCCTGATGCTGAACTTCCAAGAATCTCCTCCTTCATCACATACTAAAAGAAAAAATACACATTATAATATGCAATGCCAAAAGATTGGAGAATCATACAATATCTTTTCATTTCATTTAAATTATAAAAAAAATTAAAGTCATTTTCACCATGTGGTACAGTCCAGATTTAATTTTCTAACATTTCGCAAACTGAGGCCACTTTCAATACTGGCTTTATTTACTTGTTAAATTATTTGAATAGTCAATTTTGGTTTGTTTCATTTTTTTTAAACGAGCAGTCCAAATATGGAAATTTAATTTCAAACTGTCATTATATTGTCTACAATTTCTCAAAACAACTGTATTAAGACTGATAATTTACAATTTACAAAAAGACTTTTTTTAATTCAGATAAGTTTGCAGTCAAGGGAATTTTATTTCTGACAGGTATTTTCTATATTTATTGATTTACTTTCTGGTGGAATTAGGTTGAAAAATGTACAAATCTAGCCAGACCAAATTATTTCTATATAACTTCTATCCTACACTGCTGAATGAAACCATTCTCATTATTTATGGCATATTATAAAGTAAACAGTATGTTTGTGCAAACATATTTAGAGCCTGAGCTATAAATTATTAGAGCCAGTAAATGGATAAAATACACATTAGCTTGTGCCAACAGCAAAGCAAAGCAAAAAAAAAAAAAAA